CGCTGGGCCCCGTCCCGGTGCAGGCCCCTGCGGACGCACCGTGCAGTCTCGGCTCTGCGGCAGCCGGTCCTGGCACTGTCCCCGCCCCTCGTGCATACGGGACAATCAGAGTCGAGCAGGTAGAACTGACCCAGGGAAACAAGAATCAGGGCTCCTGTTACCAATTCAAAACAGCCCCGGCTCCTGCTGAAGTTACAGGCGTTAGTGTCAGAACAGGGCCCACCCACATCGTCTTCTTCAATGTTTATTCACTAAGGTGCAAGCAAAGGGCCACACCAACGTTTGAATAAATGTCTCAAATTCTATCTTTCCCAGGGAACAAACACTCAGTATAGTGTAAGGACAATCCCACTAAGCAGCTTGGCAGAAAGTCCAGCCCGACCCTTTTTCCTTGGAGGAGGGAACTTCTGAAATACACAACCTTCCCACCCAGGGTGAACAGCATCCCCATTACGTAAGGAAATAAGACCTTCGCTGGTAAGTGCTGTATGGAAATTAAAAAGTGGTAAGACACATGTTCTAATTTTACCTTTTTACAAACAAAAAAAAATAATCACAACTATAACGAAACCCATATACCTTTTCCTCATTAGGCACTCTCTTTGGTCAGTTCTTTCCTTAAAATGGAGATTAAAAGTTGCCCCTCCTCCCCCATCCACCACAGCTTCAGGAAGATTCCCTGTGTTGGCTTAGAAAGTTCCCTCAGTTCTATGATGCACGTGTTCCCATGGGTTTACATTTCTCAGATTGAAATGCATCTCACAATTGCTGTGTACACTTGACACAGTGATTTTCCAAAATGCTGTTATTAAGTAAATTTTCTAGAACCCAGGAAACTTATTTCCCTTGTGATCATAAAAATCTCTCTCCTCAGAAGGTAAGAGGTTTGCTTGTTTGTTTTTCCAGTGAAAAGTCCCGCGGCCTCGTTTCTTATAGCAGATGAGGAAGCACCAGGAATGCCCTGGCGCTGGTGAGCCTGGGGCCTCGGAGACGGGCCCCGCTGGAGCTGCCTCTTGGCCAGGAAACAGGCTGCGTTCCAGTCCCAGCTCCTCGAGCAGCTGGCTCCGCTTCGCTCCGCAGAGCCCCAGCCAACCTGCCTGGGGACAGGCACAGCAGCGGCACCGATTCCTAGGGCCCTCGGGAACGTGAAGTCACATGCAATCAGCCGCGGCAGCCGGCCAGCCTGGCAGGGTGTCGTACATACGAGTGATGGATTTGTGTCATGAAACGATGTTTGCTGCTCTTTTAACCGAAACATGAGTGACTGGAGCAGCTAAGTACGCATAACTAGGAGTTAACCTCTTAAGTTTTAGCGTTAGTTTAGGAAAAAGGCAAATATAGTTTTTTAAAAACTATATTCCTGAGGTTAGAGGGGATGAAAATGGGAGAAGAATGAGAACCGGGTGGAGACTAGAAGGGGAGAGAAAGAAGAGAAGCTGGGGTATGTTCGCGGATGCCTGGCCTAGGAGTCAATACTGACCCAGAAAGTGTACTAATTAGGTTAGAGGCTAAATTACTGTAACAAAGAGACTGAAACTTCGGTGGGCCCAGCGTGAGAAACAGCTGTACTCTTTCAAATACAGTTTAGAAGGTTAGTTACGTGCAGGGCGGGTGTGCGAGGGTGGCTTTATGTCACCAGGTTGTCCAGCGAGCCCGGTTTCCTGTGTCTCGGGCTGCCACCCCCTGGAAGGCTGTTTTTCTCTGAATTTGCCATCTGGCCGGCCAGCACCCCGTCTGTCCTGCAGGCGTGGGAAAGGGGATAGAGAAGGACAGGGAGCCATCAGCTTCCTGTGTTAAGGACAAGGCCAGGGAGGTGCAGGCTTTACGTCTGCTCGCCTCCCGCTAGCCCCAGGGCCACACCAAGCTGCGCGGGAGGTGAGAGTGACAGCTCAGTTTATCCAAAGGCCAAGGAACAGAGTGCCTGCCGGGGAAAGACCGCGTGGCCGAGCGTGAGCAACTCATTCCAGCTCTCGTCGTCGCCACTTTACACAGGCCTTGGAATGCATTATGAGCTCAGAATAACACAACTAGCAGGTGGTTCACGGGCTCTTTTCCGCCCCACTGAATGACCTCTCCATCCCATTACTGTCACGCCACGTAGGATGTATGTGCAAAGCTTTCAACCGAAGACAGAGCTGGGGGTTCATTCCGTGAATTGCTTTTTGCTAATGAGAAAATTGCACGCCTGATTCAATTAAGTAACTATTTGTTAGGCATTTAATGTCTGTTCTTGTCTATTAAGAGCTTCCATTCTTATGTTCGCGGTAGGGGGTGCTCCTGATGGTAATGTAATCAACCCCTGGGGTAAAAGTCTCCCATCCTCAGCCTGTTTTGCACCTGTGGTTTGCCTTTTGCCAGGGGCAGGTATTCAGAACGGCTGGGGCGGACTGTTGGGGAGAATTACAGGACTCCCTCCTCCTGTGCAGGGGAGGAGCCCTTCGTTCCACCCCTGCAAAGCTCCTCTAAAAGCCATCCCCGCCCCACGGAGCAGGCTGAGTGACTGGGAGCCAGCATGGCCGGCACGTCCAAGTTTATTGACTACATTGATGAGGCTTTGGAAAAATCCAAAGACACTGCACTTTCTCGCTTGTTTTTCACCTACCAGGGGATTCCTTACCCAGTGACCATGTGCGCCTCAGAAACCTTCCAAGCCTTGGGCACCTTTGAAGCCAGAAGCGATGACATCGTGCTGGCATCTTATCCGAAGTGCGGTAAAGAGCTCCTGCTCTGCAGGCCACTTCTTCCGGGCGTGGGGCGGGCGGGTGCGGCAAGGCCGGAGGGAGGCGACTGGCCTCCGGGGGGCCAGCCAGAAATCGGAGGCTGGTGCGGGAGGCAGAGAGGCCGGAGGGGCTGGCAAAGGGCCACGAACGAATGCGGGAGGCCGGTTGCCACGGAGCACTGAGGGCAATAGAGAAGTTTTCATCTTGTTTTGTTTTGTTTTTGTTTTTTTAAATATATCTTTATTGATCTCAGAGAGAGGAAAGGAGAGGGAGAGCGAAATAGAAACATCAACGATGAGAGTCATTGATCAGCTGCCCCCTGCACGCCCCCGACTGGGGATCGAGCCCGCAGCCTGGGCATGTGCCCTGACCGGGAATCGAACCCCGATCGCCTGGATCCTAGGTGGACGCTCAACCGCTGAGTTTTGATGGAAGAAAAAGCATAGCCATGCCCATAATTTAGATAATGATTTCCATGAAATAGGTTCTTTCTTTTTCACGACCAAACATCAACCCTCCGGTTTCTGAAAGGAGTTTTACAGTGGTCGTTTATCAGTGGAAGAAAAACATTACGAATCTCAACCACCCTATTTTACACAAACAACTTTTGTTTTTTTAACTGTTATTTTATCTCTGTTTATTATAGCCAACCCCACTCATTTAATATTTTTCTTTCTCTTAACTGATGCTGGGTTTTTATAAAATCAAAGTTATATACTCCTATTGAAAATATTCATTACTGTAAGGTATATAATATATGATATATAATAAGCAATCATTGCCACAGCATAAAATTTTTCTATAAGGAATATATTCTAGATTCAAAAAGAACTGTCTCATCACAGGAGAAATCTGAGAAGTTAAATTTTATATTAATGTAAATAAATACTGTTTTCCACAGCCCAGGTTATTTTAAGCACAGAAGAACCAACTGTACATACATCAGGGAATGGTGGTAGATTTTAATTTTTATGATGTATATGCTAAAGTAACATGCTTTTACTATATCAAGACTCTTTAATGAGTTTGATTGTCTGATTTTTCTCATAGGTTCAAACTGGATTCTTCACATCATTAGTGAGTTAATATTTGCTGATTCTAAAAAAAAGTATGAATGTCCAGAATTCCCAATTCTTGAATGTGGGGACCCAGAAAAATATCAGGTTAGTAGTAAACAGCCTTTAAACTTATAGAATACTATCAAATGAGGATTTCTTCTGTTTTGAGGATCTTTTAGTGTTGAGTTCAGAAAGTACAATACTAATAATTATTGCAACATATTGTGTGCTTACCATATCCTCAGCACTTTTCAGGGATTATCTCATTTTATTACAGACTAACCTTTTCACCATTTTACAAAGACTAAAACTGTTAGAGACTTGCCCAAAGTCAAGGAGGTAATAAATGGCAGGGCTAAGATTTGAACCTGTTTTCAGATTTGAGTCGTTAAAAAAAAAAAAAAAGAGGGAAAGCTTTAGTAAAAAGGAAGACTTCTAAAAGCATCTAAATTAACATGAAAATGTCCTATAAGGTGAGTGAGACATATGATTGTAGCTCCAGGGCTTCTGGAAAATGTTTTAACTCAGTGTGGTATTTGGGTTTTGAACATGTGTAATTTATCAGAAATGTTTATATTTTTTCTCCAGGTAATTTTAAAGACATGATTTTGTATTTTTGTAATTTCACCATACCTAAAAACAAAGATACTTTTCCATGCAATATGCCTTTTGTTTTAAAATAGAAGTGAGAGGATGAACTCCACATACAAGTTATTCGCTTCACAGAAAAGTTTTCTAAAATACACGTATTTCCTTAAACGAGGTGTAGCAATACCCAGTCTTTACTCTGTTTACAGTTGGGTAGATCACGCATTTTCACGAACATATTATAGTTTATCTAGTTTTGTTACAATTAACTTCCATTTTCCCCTTGGATATTTTTCTAATCCTTTCTGGAACTTCGGCATTTCTCATATGTCTTTATGTGATTTTTGGTCGTGCAGTTTGGTGGAAAAAGGACTCTATCGCTTAATCTGAAAATTACCACCTGTGTGATTTTTCACAATGAGCTTAAAATGTCAAAGCTGTTGTTAATCTCTAAAATGGGGGTTACAATATCCACCTGAGAGGATTACTGTGAATGAATGTAAAAGTACATCCAAATCTAAGAAGTGCAATTTATGTGTATCAAGTGTCAGGACTCCTAATCACTACTTAAACCCATATGATTGATTTAAATTGTTTATTTTAAAACTTTTTTTTTTTCCCCATTGCTTGAGTTGGAATCTCACTAAGTTTTTACAAAACAATTGGCTACAAACAACTAAATATTATTTTATCACTTGAAATGATGTGACTGGCCAAGCAGTGAGTAACCTCCACAAGCATAGAAATGAATACGTGATGCCTTAGCCCCCCCAGCCCCCCTGCCCATAACACACACTAAGGGCCTGATTTTAAGATGAGACCCTTAACCCTGGCAGATTAAACAGGTTAACGTTCATTTTTAAATTATCGGTAGATCACTTTGCAAAGGATATGATTGTCTAACCACTATGCTGTACACCCAAAAATAAAACAAAATAATACTGAATGTAAACTGTAATTGAAAAATATAAGTAAAATTATTGGCAGAAGTAGGTTTTAAAAAAAGAAAGTAAAAAGAATCACCGAGTCCTTATGCTGAAGAATTTCTCTCATAAACTACTTCTCGGATATCTGATTGGCTGTGTGCTTTCCGGTTCTGTTGGGCTATTGGACTGAATGGAGTTTTACTGGTAAAACAAAGTAGACCTAGATGTTAAAAATGGGTTTGAAGGAGCTATGGGAAGACTTGAATATTTTGTAAAAGACCTTGCATGTAGAAGAGATACAAATTAAGTGAAAGAGCGGATTGCAGATTATGAGCATTCTTGAACAAAGTACTCAGTACGATTGTGGGAAAAGGTAAATTTTTCCAAAAATGGCCCAAAAAATGATAAGCAGTATCCAACAAGGGGGTTCAAAAGGAAGATTTTCACTATTTATTCATTTATGATTCTCCCCTCTCATCCTCACAAAGGAAAGAGAAATTTAAAGAATACTGGAGGCCCTAGGGAGAGGAGGACGCAGCAATAGTAATGTGTAAAACTACCACTCAGGCACTAAACCTAGGAGCGATTCACACACACACGCGCACGCACACACACACACACACACACACACACACACGTTCACCTTGTCCTATATGTTTTTAAGAGAATGAAGCAGTTTCCATCGCCAAGGATTCTGGCAACTCACCTCCATTATGACAGGTTGCCCGGGTCCATCTTCAGGAACAAGGCCAAGGTGAGTGTCCTTTCCCACTGGAATTTCAGGTGGAGTGTTTAATGTATAGCTCTTGGCCTTCTGAGCTACGGGAGGGCTTTGCTGCTCATCACAGAATTTTAATAAGTGAAGTGTGAGATTTGGGCATTTCTTTTATTGTTTCTTTCTTCAGATATATCTGTTGCAGTTGCCTTCAAATCAAAGGAATTTTCAGCTAGGATGTAAACCTTATACATATTTTAGACCCCGTTTTAGAGTGAAGAGAATTCAGAACCCAACTAGGATAGTGTTTAACAAAGGATACAACCTAGAAAAATGAGCAGAAATTGCCCCTTTGGTTCTGGCTGGTGAGCACTGTTTACCTGAAGTCTGAAACTATTTTATTTCTGAATTTGACCTGTGATAGCAAACTTCTTGTGCATAAATAACTATAGGTGCTTTAGCTACTCTTGGTTGTTTAAAAATCTTGTTTCATTAAACAGTATTGATCTGTTCTCATAATTATTAGTTTTTACCTAATCTGCTTTGGTTTCGCCTGTCTCTCCCCAATTCCCTATTTCTGGGTGCCTCGTTTCTCTGTCTCACGAGCAAGATGAGAATTAATTAAAATAAGGATTCGAATTCTTGAATGCCACAACAAGGGTGAGGGGACAGGGCAAGCGTAGCAAAGAAAGGGGAAAGCAGCAGGCGGGAGACTGCGATGGTAGCAGGAAGGAGGGGAAATAAGAGGGAAAAAGTCACTAGGGAGGCGGAGGCTTACAACCAGTGCCTTGTGGCCAGGGTGCAGGGTCCTAGGCGCTTAGGATTGGAAAATACCTTAAAGGGTGTCGACTCCAATCCCCAAGAGGTGTTTGGGTTCCACTAAGTGGCTGGCTGGCCTATGGCTGAGCCCCTCTCGCTTACGCCAACTTTGGACAGCTCGTTAAACAGTCTTGCTATTGAGAATCTCCCAATGTCACTGAAATATCACTTTAACATATAATCTCTCCAGTTTAATGTAGTTAAATATCATCACAAACCTAGCTGACTTTTCCCCCCTTAATTATTCCATAAGAAACATAGCTAAAGTAGTTTACAAAACATTTGGATTTGGAGTGAAACAGTTTCACTGTCACAAAAACACAGCAAGAAAAGAAATAGCCAAGGGAAGTGGTTCCTCACTGTCCAAATTTACAGCTTTGTAAAATTATAAACTGCTACAAGCCAGGGCGACTAATGAGTGTTACTCAAAGCCCCAAATATAACACCCTCGAGTGACAAAAATCTGCTCCATTTGGATCGGGGGCAGGAGTGAGTCTTAGATCTAAGTGAAGGACGTAGACCCCAGCTTACTGCTCTCTGTTCAGTTGGATCCTGTGTGTCTCAGACAGACAAGGTGTTTTGAGATCCTGACTCCCTCTCAGTTTCATGTCATCTATATCTTTACCTAAATCACTCATTAAAACGACGACGGCCTAGTCAGGACATCCATGGCCTAGTGGAAATGCCATCAAAAGCCCCCCAGGCATGTTTACCTTAATGATTTCCCCTCTTTCCACGTGAATTCTATACGCCTAATTGCTTCTGCTTTCAGCTTACACTCTTCCATTTTGTAGGAGAAATAATTAGCAACAAATCTACTAAGTGGGAAACCGTGCAAGAAAAACTTGGTGTTAGTCCACAGCGACCTGTTCTTAGAGGACCATGTTGCCCCCTGCTGGTGACTTCTTCTTTTAGGTGGCCCTGGACCATCCAGTTAGTCAACTAGACGTTCTAGAAAACGTCTTCCTAGTGGAAGTCGGGGTCACAAGTCTCTACTTTGCAAACCCGTGCCTGCCTCCCTTCTGAGCCCGGAATGACCCTGCCCGTTTCCAGCCTTCTGAAGCGCTCTGTGTCGGCTCGGGCTCCTCAGTGGCCGTCCACAGGGCTCAACACTGTCTTCTTGGAGTGGAGTCCGTCCGGCAGGAGGCCTAACAAAATTCACGTGGAGCAACCAAATGGTTCCTGTAATCTTGTGGTTCTCTGGGCTTCAGTTTGCTCTTTACAATGTTTATTTCACACTTTTCATTGAAAAGAATAAGTTCATTCCTCATCAGAGAAGGTAGGGGTCCCGTGGGAGGGCAGAGGTTCCGCTGCATCTGCATCACCCATCGCACCTCGGGCCCCAGAGAGCGGGCCTGCCATTCTTTGATCTTCTGACACCAAACTTTTAACATTTTTAAACTCACCTTTAACGTTATTTTGCAATTTTTACTTTGTTTAGGGGTTTAACTTCTCAGATCATGCGCTTGTGAGCTTGCCCGTTACTGCTTTTTGTGTCTTCTGCATGTGCCTCTACTGTCTAAACTCACCAGCAAACGCCCTCTCTTACATCAGTGTTCTTTCTCTTCCTTTCTCTCCTCTCCCCACGCTTCCCCATCTGCCACCTCCTAGTCCTCAATTTCTTACTGTCATTCTTTACATATTAACAAAATTGTGTAGTATACGAGGGGACACATGCTACTGCTCACCCTTTCACTTTTCCAAACTTCAAAACGTAGACCTAAATCAGTTAACTGCGTTTTATCTCCCTAGATATTGGTGATATTTCGAAATCCTAAAGATACTGCGGTATCTTTTTTCCATTTCCACAATGATGTCCCCGATATTCCAAGCTATGGCTCATGGGATGAATTCTTCAGACAGTTCATGAATGGTCAAGGTATGGCTGTTGGTAAAAGAATTATTCTTACTTTGACGCATGACCACAACATATAAAACATGTAGAAACTGCTTGGCTGAAAGCAAGGGCTTTGTGCTTATTATCATAATTATAATAATTATGAGAATATTACTATTATTAATGATATAATAGCTTAAATTTATTGAGTTGGTACTATTAACTAGGCATTCGACAGGTGTTAATTTATTTAAGCCTCACAACAACCCCATTTTACAAATGAGGAAACTAAAGCACAGAGAGGTTCAGGGAGCTGTGCGAAGTCCCCCAGTTATTAAGCACACAGCTGACCAGTGTCTAGCTCTGCACTGTCCAGTGTAGCAGCCACTAGCTACATGTGGCAACTGAGCACTTGAAAGGCGACTAGAACAACTGAGAAGTTAAAATTTTTATGTTATTCTATTTTAATGAATTTAAATTTAGATTTTTAAAACAGCACTTGATTAGTTTTTTGGAAACTTTTTAAGTAAGTTTGGTACAAGTTGAGTGTGTGAATCTACTTTTCCAGCTGTAAGTTTTATGAAGTCAAGTGATTCTGATAAAAACTTAGCACTCTGGTTTTTAAGATTTAAAATACAAAAATAATGTGTAATGTTTCATTAATAATTTTTATGTCGGTTACATGCTGAAGTAATAATATTTTATGGTACACTGGGTTAAATAAATATTGAAATTAATTCCACCTGTTTATTTTTGCTTTCTTAATGTGGCTACTAGAAAATTTTAAATTACAGATGTGGCTGACATTAAATTTCTGTTGGACAATACTGGTCTAGATAATATGTCTCATCATTTCTTTCTGGCATTATCTCTGTCCGTTTTTGTGTATCAGTCACTATTTCTGAATTATTTTATTCACCTAAATATTCATAAGTGTCTGGTGTTTTTATCAAACCATTTTACAACTTGCTTAGTTGTGTTATTATTTATGAAGATAAAATGACCAAAAATCTGGCAATAGGACTGTCTTATGCCAGTTCTTCTGGAGCAGGGATTTGTAATAACTTGTAAACATCTTGTTTAAGCTCATTCGTAAACAGTTTATACTTTAGAACATAAATTAACCATCTATCATTTTAACCTCAGTTATTTCAAATTCCTTAAGGAGTTTTTTTTCTTGTGTTTTTAGTTTCTTGGGGGAGCTATTTTGATTTTGCAATTAATTGGAACAAACATCTTGATGATGAAAATGTTAAGTTCCTATTATATGAAGACCTGAAAGAGGTGAGGTTATGATTCTTAATACTTTATAGCAAGATTTATCATAAACTACAACTCAGAACACTCGTAATGTCTGGTTGTATGAACACACATTGTATTCAATTAAAAAGAATATTCCAGATATGGGGTATAGTGCTAGGGGGGAAAACAAACAACCTGTAAGTGCTTCAGTTGATTATCCAACATAAAGTCATGCTTAGCAATTTATACTAACAGTCGCTGCTTTATTTTCCTTGTATGAGAGACGGTCCAAACTAGGAATGTGAAAAGCAGTAGGTAGGTCTTACCTGCGATTTAATTGAACATGCATTGGGCTGCGAATTGATTTTTCCGTGTAATTTTTAATTGCTTATTCACAAACATTGAGTGAGCGATTGTTCAGCATTGTTCTAGGCCCTTGCGATACATCAGTGAGCAGACCAGACAAAGTGCACTGCCCTGGAGAAGCTCACATTCTAACTGGAGGAAGCCAGAATGACAAATCATAAACACAATGCAAGTTTAAAAATACACAACGTGAGAAAAAAGAAATGGCATAGCTGATTAAGAAAAACTAGCAATGCCTGGGGGTGGGGGGTGGGACGCTGGGTAAATCCCAGTATAAAATAGGATGGTCAGGGCAAACCCCACAGAGAGGATGTGATTTAAACAAAGATCTGAAGGAAGTGGAAGAGCGAGCCACGGGGGCAAGAGCTTTCCAGGCAGAGAGAACTGACTGAAGCAAAGGCCCTGAGGTCGGAGTTCCTGTGTGATTAAGAGACAGGGAGGAGGCAGATGTGGCTGGGGCAGCAGAGGTGACCAAGGGGAGACTAACCAGTGCGAACACCACCCACGAGGCCACTGCAGGACTCGAGCAGACAAGTGATAGGAGTTGGCATCTTTTTAGAAGGATCATCCTGGCTGGTGTGTGAGCACAGGCTGGAGAGGAGCAAAGATAGTGCAGGAAAAGCTTGTGAGGGGGCTGCTGCAGGAAGGAGCCCGGCCAAGGGGCGATGGGGGCTCAGGCCAGAAAAAGCAGTGGAAGTGAAGAGAAACGGCTGACTTCTGGGTTTACATTGAAAGGAGAACCTGTAGGATCTGCTGCTGGATTGGATGGGGGTCAGAGGAGTGAGAGAAAAAAAAGAGGCAAAATAGACGCCAATATTCCTGCCTAACCGCCTGGGAGGGCTGAGCGGCCATCATCTGAGTAGGAGATGGCAGGTGAAGCAGGGTTATCGGGGTGACCTGGTGTTTGGTTTTGGACACGCCGTGTCTGAGATGTGTGTCAGTCACCCCGCTGGAGAGGTCAGGCAGGCAGCTGGGTATAAAACTCTTGAATGGAGAGCGAGCTCTGCCCCATAGATACAAACGTGTGAATCAGTGGCACACAGATGGCATTTAAAGCCATGAGATCACACACCTACGTACGTAAGTATGTGGACAGGGAAGAGAAGCCGACCAAGAGCTGTGCCCAGAGCCCTCCGATATACAGAGGTGGAGGAAAAGGGGAGGAATCGGCAGAGGCGACTAAGGAGGGGTGACCGACGAGCTAGGAGCGAAGCAGAGTCCTCGACCCCAGGGAAGGGCGCACGGGCCTGAGAAGGGCGCCTGCCCACTGCTCTCCAGCTGGGTTGGCTTTTGAACACAAGTCTCTCCTGTCTTATCCAAGGAAAGTATAACCTGTCTCTTCTGTTTATAGGGTCATGTCTGTAACACGAGAGAACAGCAGTATTTAGTCTTTCCTCCCTCTAGTCTAGGATGTTTCTGAAACATCGTTGCCCCAGGTGTTAATACTCCTTCCTGGGGGCTGAAGAAAGTCGCTTATTCCGGTGGGTTTGAGAGGCGCGGGGTTAGCCGGCCTGCTCCTCGGGGGGTCGCGGGGCGCAGTGGCATGTTGAAGGCTGAGAGGCCCTGCCGGGAAGAAGGCTTACCTTTGTTTAACCCAGAGGGTTCCGAGCTTATTTGACCTCAACCCTTCACCTTCCTTTCCTTTTGTTCTTTTTCATGAAACATCGGTAACCATCCTGAGGGATAGGAGTGTTTTGTAGAATACAGTTGAAGGAACTGTTCTAGAAACTTCGTGAATCTCCACTGGTCAGGGATACTGTTGGAGGGGCAGGGTGGGGTTCATGACTTACAAGGGAATTTGGACTGGGTAGATTTAAAGTTCCCTTCTAGTTTTTATGATTCTAAACATTAGACTTTCTTCATGGAATTACACATTAGCAAAAAACAGGATTCAGGAGAAAAGAATTCAAACGAGCATGCACAAATACAACAATTTCCTCAGCTAGTTTAGACTGGCGCTTCTTTAAAAAAAATGACTATCATCTTAGATAAAATTCTAACCTTATTAATTAATGCTTACTGTCATTATTTATATATAGTTTAACAAGAATTATAAATTAAAACTATGAAGTAAAACCGATATAGAATATCTTCTAAAGATATCTCAACTATTTACACACAGGTATCAAGTTAAATCTAAGTAGAGAGATAAACAGATGAAATAAATACGTGGGCTTCGTCAATCCCTTCTGTCTAAGAAGCCTGTCTTTGCTCACAGCACAATTCCCATAGAAAGAAGGTCATCCTTTAAAATTTTTTTTCAGAATCTGGCCTCTGGAATAAAAGAAATCGCCGAGTTCCTTGGAGTCTCTCTCGCTGGGGAGCAGGTTCAAAGTGTCTGTGCTCAGAGTACCTTCCAGGCAATGAGAGCCAAGGCCCAGGAAACGCACGGGGCCGTGGGCCCGTTCCTGTTCCGCAAGGGTAAGGCTGCCCTGGGGTCTAGGGCACCCATCAGCTAGGCGACCGTAGAACTTTACCTCTGGTAAGACGGGTTCTTCTTTTTCTCCCAGTCAACAAGGAGTCTGGACACAGTTCAGAGCTGGAACTGGCAGCTCCACAGTATCTTCTGGAATACTAAGTTCCTTCTACCTTTCTGCCTGTCACCTTGTGATGACAAGGGAGCAGCTAGAGCCCACCACTACATTAAAATTAAAGGGTTATTTTATTAAAATAAAAAGGGAAAGGCAAGAGACAGAGTCTTGTGTATTAGCTGAGTGAGACCCCTTTCAAGAGCTTTGCTGGAGACCTCACTCTGATTTCTTAGACCTGTTGGCCACCTTTCACTGCACTGTTGGCTGGGAAATGTGATTTTTTAAAAAGGTGGTCGCATTATCACCCAATTAAAATTAGGGTTTGGTAATAAGGGAGAAAATGAGTATTGGATAAGGCAACTTGCTGTCTCTGGCACTGGTGGTTTTACTAAATTTCATTACAGAGTTCTAATTCCTTATGGAAATATATGCGACTATAGCTTGGGGATTGCCAGTTTTATTTTATTGAATATATAATGGAAACATAACGTGATTTAGAGGCAGCACAGATAATAACAACAGCTATCAGTTATTAGGCATCTATCATGTGTTCGATCCTTGCTGGACTTAAATTTCATAGCAAAAAAGATATCAAATCCTTAGTTTTACAAACGTGGGCATGATGCTCAGAGATATTAATTTGTCCATTGTCACACAGCTTATAAATGATGGAGTCAGGATCTGAACTTAGGTCTACTTGACTCTACTACACTTCGTCAAGTGAAGACCTATTTTTAAAATCCACTGCAAGTGGGATGTTGATTGTAAATCTGACTTTGGTTTGTTTGATCCCTGACTTTAGCCCTGATTTTTATGCCTACTCTTGTTAGCTTTCAGGAGGGAGGAAAATGCAACCTTTTTATACATTGTTATTTAAATACCATTTAGAATAGAAAATCCTAAAATAAATAACATAATAACAAGGTTCTTAATAATATTTCTTATAGAAAATTCAGAAAGCACTGAAAATATGTGAAAAGCATTAAAAGTTACCCCATTTTCCCCACCAGGGGCAGGTTTAACCTTTTGGCATATTTCTTCCAGCTTTATTCTGTGATGTTTTATATAGTTGATGACATTTGTAGACAGTTTTGTATTTTATTTTATTCCCTTCATATATCTAAGCATTTCCTCATGGCTTTACACCCTCTTTATAAGTACAAACTTCAATGACTATGCAACAAGGAACTTATAACTTTAACCCAAATTATCAAAAGATTCTAAAGGAATAAGTAACTTCCTTTACTTTTAAAAGCAAATAAAAATAATATCCTAGTCCCAGGCAAAATAATCACTTTTTACAAAACTTTCAGTATCTGAGGCCTTAACCAAAACCTGCTGTAAAAATGTTACCTTTTCTCAAGGAGTATAAGGAAGTTAAAAGTCTTTAGAGAGAAAAAAACTGACTCTCAAAAGGCTAGAATTTTAGGTCCTGAGTGTTGGGAGAGAGGTGGAGATGGGAGATCACTGAGGCCAACGGTCCGCTCAGAGAGAGAAAGAAAGCACGTCACCTACCACACCACAGACGGGAAGCACCAATGGATACTGTTAATTTTACAAGAGGAATTACATTCATTTTCTAAGACTGTCTAATTTTTTTCGTGTGTCCATTTTCACATTTCAGAGTGAAACACTACATTGAAAACTCGTAAAATCAAGAAAAAATATCCTAACAGGGGTCTGGGTCTACTGTTTTTTGTGTGTTGCAGGTGAAGTTGGTGATTGGAAAACTCTGTTCAATGAAACTCAGAGCCAGGAAATGGATGAAAAATTCCAAGAGTGCTTAGCAGGCACTGTCCTGGGAGCAAGGCTGAAGTATGAATCATATTGCCAGGCCTGATCCTGGTCAGTCCATCAGGCCTGGGTATTTTATTTTCCTTAATAACAACTGAATTTAAACACTTAAATAATAAATTGAGCAAGTAACCAAATAATGATAGATAAATAACATTAGAGATAAATAATACAAATTTAACAATAATGATAACATCTGAAGGTTTTCAGTAAAAACTTAAGTTTGTTCACTTTTCGAGGTTTTCCTCTAACATCAGGAAAAAGACAAGGATGTCTTCTCTTTATGCTTTTACTCAGTGTAGTACTGGAAGTTACAGGTCAGTTAGGCAAGAAAAAGAAACCAAAGGCATCCAAATCAGAAAGGAAGAAGTTTGCAGATGACATGATATTATATATAGAAAACCCTAAAGACTCCACCAAAAAAACCCCCCCAAAAACTATTAGAAATAATATATGAATTCAATAAAGTTGCAGAGTACAAAATTAGTGTACAAAAATCAGTTGCATTTATATACACTGATAACAAACTATAGGAAAGTTAAATTAAGAAAACAATCCCATTTACAATAAAATAAAAAATAAAATAGGAATAATTTAACAAAGGAAGTGAAAGCCCTCTTCACTGAAAACTGAAGACATTGGTGAAAAAAATTGAAGACTCCCCACACAAATGGAAAGATGTCCCATGTTCATGAATTGAAAGCGTTAATATTGTATCCATACTACACAAAGCACTTCAGATTCAATGCAATCTCTATCAAAATTCCAATGGCATTTTTCAAAGAAATAGAGAAAAATCCTTAAATTCCTATGGAACTATAAAAGATGCCAACTACCTAAAGTCAGCTTACAAAAAGAACAAAGCTGGAGGCTTCACACTTCCTGATTTCAAACTATATTACTCAGCAATTTCCCAAAGTCAGGACAACAGTTATTTTTAATCTCCTAGTTAAAAAATGAAAAGTATTTGACATGTGCAAGATTCTTTTGTCTGTATTTGATTAGTTGTAGTACTGCAAAACATTTGATCTAAAGTTACTGTGAGTTTCAAAATTGAAAAATAGATCTATAGCAGTAACTGTAGGTCTAATCAAATTGGAATTCACAGAGTTACATAGTACATAAGGCCATCACTGAAAATTAACAAAGTTATCAAAGATGCTTCTGCTCTATCTATGTATTTATGTTATCTATGTATCTATGCTTCCCAACACAAAGTTGCTTCCTTTCCTGCAAACATTCAATCCTTAGGAAACTAATTTCTATATAAACACTTAAGGACACAATGTGATTTTTGGCCATCACAGTGCTTCACATAGGAGGCACTCAATAAAATTTATTGAATAAATTAATGAAGAGATTTTTTTTTTTCTCAAGAAGTATGTTTTTTAGAATATCAGAATATGCTTTTGATGTAATTAACAGAAAACCAAACCCAAATTGGTCTACAGTAGAGAGAAAAGGAGAGAGGGCTTTTAGGACTGATCAGTCTAGGATGGGGCCAGCTGCAGGTGAGACTTGATGCAGGGCTCGAACAAGGACATGATTCTTAATCCTCACTTGTCAACCACATCCCCACCTAATGCGTTCCCTTCTTCAAATGAAAACACACACATACCATCTCTTAAATCTTTATGCCCATTGCTCTGTGATGTTCCTTCTTCTTCTGTTTTGGTCACATTCCTACCTCAAGACACTCATGTAAAGACTATCTTATAAAAATTAACCACCAGCAGCAGATCTCATCTAAAAGGAAAGGGGAAAGCAATGAAAAGAAGGTCACTAATACAAACAAAAACAAAGCAAGTAGAAGAACATGCATCGCTTCTACGGTCCTTCATTCTGCTACGGGCCGCGAGACCATAGTCGGTGTTCACAGCTTCCTTATTCATTTGTCCCCAAAAGTGTCCCCAGCTCAGTAGGGTGATACAAATCAATAATCCTGAAGCGTCGGAGACCTTAACAGTCCTGCTTGTGTTGGACAGCTCTAGACTTCCATTAACCTGTATCACTGAAAGTGGGATTACTAGAAGGAACCCCAGAGAAACCCCTGGCTTGAAGACCTGCTCACCCCTGACCCCACTGTGTCCCCTTGGTAGTTCATATCGACCAGCCCAACCAATTCGGTCGTCATTTTCTTGCTGGCATCATGAACCTGCAATATCCAGATGCAGTTTAAGGAATTAGGTATGTCCTCTGGTGGGAAGAGCGCCCAAAGTGACCGGAGCAGGAAGCCTTTACTGTGCGAGTGCGAGGTGAGGCTTACCTGTGGGAGACGACACTTTCGCCTCTGCTGTTTCCTGGTCTCCTGCACTCGGGCTGCGGACAAAGCAGCAGCCTGGCTTACAGCGGATGATGCACCTGAAGGACCGACCGCGCACGCAGCTCGCTAGGTGCTGCCTCCTACCTGGGGCTGGAACTGAGCCTTCGCCACTCCACCCCACCGTCCTCCAAGGCCAGCTGCTTTGGGGAAATGAGGTTCCTGATAAAACCACTGAATCCTATGGTAGTCCGTGTGCTGCCTCACTTCTTTTTCTGTAAAATGGGTCGCTTAGGGAGGGATGCCATGACGGTGAACAAGGTGTTCAGAATGCCCAGCAATGATGGTACCGGCAGAAGCACCGCAGGGAGGAAAAGCAAGTCCGTATCCGAAGTAAATGTTTACTCCACAAACACCCGCCCACTCCGTGGTGGAAGGGCCCCTTGGGAGGGCTCCCAGGGTGCCGCACAGTGTGTTTGGGGCACGGGCTCGGATCAGCCTTGATGAGAATTCCGTGTTGAACTCGCCCGCGGCCAGCCCTGCTGCCACACCCCCTTCGTTCCTTTGGAACAAGCACTCGGGGAGAAGCTGACTGATGTCTTCTTGCCCACCTGCTTCGCAAAAGCCTCCTCAGAAGTGGGTGCCTTTGGTGAACATTCACGAGGGGACACAATTACGTGAGAACTCTGTGTGCAGAGCTACAGGGAAACGTTTACAGCCCCTGACGCCCTGCAGGATGGGGGGATATATAGGAGAAGTGGGAAAGGACTCCTAGAGCCAATGCCCAGTATTTAATATCTTGGGGCCACTTCTCTCCTTTGCCCTAGCGAAGATATTTGATGGTACAGACTCCTGATTCTAATTCTAGGTCCCCTGTCTACCAGCTGCGGTTACTTAACTTCTCTGTGCCTCAAACCTCAGTTTTCTCACCTGTTAAATGGCCACCATAATGCCACCTGCCTTGCTGTATTGTTGTGGGCTAAGTCCTCAGCACTCCTAAATCAGGTGTCAATGAGATTGAGCATCACTCTGGGAATTAGGTGAGTAGGATTTCTTATAAATCGAGGACTACTGGTAAGGGCTTTTGTAGTCAACGCCATGAGGCCCCACAGGGAGCCTCTGAACTGGCAGGTGCCGCGTACAGCGGCTGGCAAGTATCTGTCGAACGACAGGGTGGATGGGTGCAAACAGAAGCAGCACCCTCACGCCCGGCTTGGGAAGGTGACCAGGAGCGGTGTGGGAGGGGGAAGAGGTGCTTTGGTTTAGGGGCCTGACCTGGAGTTGAATGCTCTTTGCCACTGACCAGCCCCAAGACTCTAAGCAAGTTAATTTACTGTTTCTTCTATTGTAAATGGAGCGGATAATGTCCACCCCACCATCACCCCAAAAGTTTGCGTGGAAGGGGAAACGCGACAGTCTGTCCCCGAGCCTGGCCGGGCGAGCGCCCGGCGCGCCCGGGCCACCCGGAGAC